AATATCAAAATATAATGCATATTCAAGACGAGATCATGTTAACGTGATGTGAACATATACCCTGCTTCTGCGGATTTTTCATGTGCTAGCTCAAAAGGTAACAATCACCTGGAAGACTTTCCACCCTATCCGGACACATCATAATTGACTCTGAACCGATCTGTCTTTACATTTACTTTTAAATCAAGCGGGTAGCTGAGTACCAGCAGTTATCGAATTTTATAAAATTGGTTACCCAGTGGCGGGGGTTCGAACTCACGAATCTCTGCAATCTAGCGTTCACACCACCACGAGACAATAGAAGGATTACTTATATTTGCATCTCATTAAAATATTTCTATAAGTTTTCAAAGGATTTTTTAAAGGTTGGAATATAGTCAAAATATAATATAAAAAAAACATTACTTATCATGCACAAAAACAGCGTAAATTGATTAACAGTCAATCACCAATAAAATGATTCTAGAATAAATTAAAGTGTTATTGCAAGGTCTTCCTGGTGTAAATATCAATCTTATTATACTAACGTCTTAGTTTGCATTTCACTACGCTATCAGCACTTAACCATAACAAGACAAATACTATGTCTGAACCTGCGTCGCTGCATGCAATTGATTGAGGCACATAATCATTCCCTAAATCCATTGAGGCTAAGAAAACTTTTGTGCAATGAGTGTTGGAAAATTTCAACGTACACGCTACAACCCAATATCATTAAGCTGCAGGACAAATGCATTCCTTTTCACAGTCAAGAACACTTTGACGAACTTTTTCTACCCCCAGGTCTTTCGGATAGATTGAGGTATGCAGACGAGCAGTTACTAGACCTACTTTCACTGTTGGTGATGCATGTGAAATTTGGTCAAAGACAACATACAGTGTATGTCAAAACGACACTTCAAACCATCTGCAAACAGGGAGTAGCTGCATAGCGGATGTAAAAATTGCTGACACGCTACAACTCAACATTATTAAGCTACAGATCAAATAAAAAATATTGCTTTCTTTAGAAGGCAAAATAAAATTGCCGAAATTTTCCTTGTACAATGAGTATTATATCGGCAAACAGAATTAGCTGCAAATGTAAAAACTCCGTACACGCTACAACCCAATATCATCAAGCTGCAGGACAAATGCATTCCCTTTCACAGTCAAGAACACTTTGACGAACTTTTTCTACCCCCAGGTATTTCGGATAGATTGAGGTATGCAGACGAGCAGTTAATAGACCTACTTTCACTGTTGGTGATGCATGTGAAATTTGGTCAAAGACAACATACAGTGTATGTCAAAACGACACTTCAAACCATCTGCAAACAGGGAGTAGCTGCATACCGGATGTAAAAATTGCTGACACGCTACAACTCAACATTATTAAGCTACAGACCAAATGAAAAATATTCCTTTCTTTAGAAGGCAAAACAAAATTGCCGAAATTTTCCTTGTACAATCAGTATGATATCGGCAAACAGAATTAGCTGCAAATGTAAAAACTCTGTACACGCTACAACCGAATATCATCAAGCTGCAGGACAAATGCATTCCCTTTCACAGTCAAGAACACTTTGACGAACTTTTTCTACCCCCAGGTCTTTCGGATAGATTGAGGTATGAAGACGAGCAGTTACTAGACCTACTTTCACTGTTGGCGATGCATGTGAAATGTGGTCAAAGACAACATACAGTGTATGTCAACACGACACTTCGGACCATAAGGCATCTATTTACAAGACATTTAATATGAAATTCTTCCATTCTATTAATGTATATTAAGGATAAAAATGTTAACCTCCTAATGTGAGGCTTTAAACATGCGCTGTTTATATTAAAACATGTGTACAAGAGTTGCTTTAAGCTTATGAATATACTATATAGTTCGTGGTTACGTTCAATAATGAACAGGTGTGCTTTATAAATACATGTTTAATTTTTGTCTACCTAATTTCAGATTTGTGTTTTTTATTCCTTTTTAAAAACCAAGTGTTTCGTTTCAATAATTTAATATCGATTCATCCCTTTTTACTCTCTGGAAATTCGATGATCCCAGGGAGATCAAAATAATGATATCAGTATAATGGAAAGGGAAGAAGATGTACCGAAAAGGTTTCCTGTTATAGTTAGCACCGCTCGTGTGTATACTTATAGGGAAGTTCATTAATTTGGTCATATGGAAGAGTTAACATTGGTTTGGGAATAATAATTAAGGGAAATTATTGTAATTGTTTATCTTGTAAATTGGAAGGATATATTCTGCGGCTAAGATTATCAAAAAACAAATGACTTTGTATAACCTAAATGTCTATTCATTTGGTATCGATCTTAATCTTCTGATTGTTTTAAATGTGGGAAATGATTGAATAATAATGAAAAGTATAACATATGTTGCAATATTTAGCTATGATGTTTGTTTCTTAATCATAATAAATAATTGCAATTTATTCGCCTAAGCAAATACTGTAATGTAATTGAAAAAGAGAGGCATATGATACCAGAGGGATATTCAAACTCATTAGTCGAAAACATAATGACGATGACATGACAAAAAACGAAAAAAATCAAAATACAAAAACAGTATACATAAAACAACATATAAAACTAAAGACTGAGCAACATGACATGAAAGTATTAAAAAGAAACTCATAGTAACGCGGAAAAAATAATTCATTACTCTCAATTAAATGTACTAAAAATTGAAAATGTGTTCAATACAAATTATTCTTTAATTTGTAATTATTTACAGATAAGTACTGTTATATTATTAATTATCCACGGTCTGCATGCGACAACCACTGACGAGATGCAATTTTTATGTTGAGACTTGAATAGAACATGTGGTGGGGTTAATCTAATTTATTGAGATCTCAAACCTCCTCCCCCCCCCCCCCCTTTCCGCCCTTTTAAACTCGATCTGTGGACTAGCGAGATTGGTACATGCTTTAACATACAATAAAATTTGTACAGCAAAACACTACTTCTTAATAATAAGGGTATAATATAGTGAATAAAAACACAATTAAAAATACATTTAAATAGACAATACCATATCATAGAATGATCACAATTTCTATAGCAAGCTTAATGTATGCCTTCCGACTCTCTGAAGAAAGTTGTTTTGGTTGCATTTTAAAAGAATTCCTGGATTCATGCATTCAAACTTGCTATATCTAGGATCTCAAATTATAAGAAAAAAGAAGACAAGAACTACAATGAATATTTGTTTATATATCTGTGCAAATTTAAACAAACACTAATTCGCCTCGTTTGACTATTTCACGTCAAACAAAAACGCACGGCCCTTTCTGTTTGCAACACGTAGAGAGTTTGTTGACTGGTCATAACGGAGATACCTTCGAGTCCGTCTAAAACGCTTCCCTCTTTGAGTTCACATGTGTCGTACCTTGGAAATCAATGCATGTCACTGTGTTGATTCCATGGTTTTTATATAGAACGTGTTTGTTGAAAATTATTACATATGAATAATACCATGCACAAAGTGGTCAGGATCTTATTGAACCTTTTGTTTCATTATCTAAATTGATTGTCCTCAATCCCATCTCCCCTGCACAATATGTTAATGGTTCCTTCGTTTGTAAGCACTGCGCCGTCACTGCATGAACCAACACCAAACGATTTAGTAAATTTTCGTTGCTCTATGTCAAAGCATTTTAAAGGAAGATAGCCACAATAACGACCAGAAGTAACAATGTTACCTATATAAACAATATCAAAGCATCTACCTGGTTTTATTTCAAAGTCATTTGTACCATCGTTGCTAATTGCTATGGCGTTATGTTGCGAGTTACAAGTAAACATCACCATTCCACCAGGCAGAATGGTACATCCTCTGACGTTACTCGCATCAATATTGACGGTCTTTCGTGGAGTCAGTGTCAGGTTATCAATGGACTTCGGTACTGGAACAACAATCATGCCGAGTATTATACACCTGTCGAAACCTACAGGTCACCAGATGGACGGATAGATAGACGAACGCTGAGTATTTCTATGTACCTTACATATGCGGGGAAAATAATCCATGATTTTATCTGCCACATATTTTGGGTTTGAATAACGGCATTTACAATAATAAGTATTTAAATATCACTTTGCATAAATCCGCAAAATTTCATATGAAATATCAGGCGAACTCAATAGGAGCCTATATAACAAGTTCATTGACTGTATATCAAAGAATCCACAGCTTTCCCCAAATGTTAAAAACAAATTAGAGAGCATATTTCCAAAGAATTGGACACAATATTTTGTATTGTTATGAGATAACTGAACGAAACTTATCCAGAAAAGTGCCTCGGACACAATACATTTATTAAGTTTTATTTTCATTTTTATCAACAAATTTAATTTACAATTATCAACACGACGGATGTCACATGTAAGGCCGGGTCAGCTCACAAGAACGCTTAAGATCACTCCACGTTTTGATGGGATGCGTGTTCTTTTGTTTTCTAAGTGATGTTTTTTAAAGTGATGTTTGTCTTTCCGTTGTTTTTCTTTTTTGTAAATGCGTTGTTAGTATGTCTTCAATTTATCAGTTATGAATGTCAATTTCGTATCCTCCTCCTTTTTTTCTTTTTATTAAGGTAAAGGCAACAGTAGTATACCGCTGTTCAATAGTCATGCATAATTCGATTAAGCAAAAACAAATCCGGGTAACAAACTAAAACCGAGTGATACACAACTATAAGAGGAAAACAACGGAACATCAGAAACACTGAACCACAACAAAAGCAAACGCCAACATACATAGAAACGGACTGAATATAACTGCCATAGTCTTGACTCAAAAATAAATCCCAGCCAATCGTTTCCATCTAAGATTGCGAGAAATCTATATATTTATCTTTACCATTTCCTACGTTGCACTTACAGATTTACATGGCAAAAACGACCAAACGTTAATATTAGGATCAAGACTGATAATAGATAACAATTATAACTCATGCATAATATTGCTACTAAACCCTGAGGAGTTTTTTTTATATACATTTCACATGAATCTTTTTAAATGGTATTTTATTATTTCTTTTGTGTCCATATTTGTTACTCAGACATATATGTATAAAGACGTGGCTTCAAATATTTGTTTTACAGTCAAATTGATAATAAAAAATGATAAACAGATCAATAAAGTTATTTTGATAATTTCAGTACAAATTTTATCTAAATATGATCTACTTATTTAAGCTACTTTACATCAAACAAAAATGCTCTGGCCTGTTGGTTTGCAACCAGGAGTGAGTTCGTTGACTGGTAATAATGCAATGCCTGTGGTTTTTCAAGACCTTCGGTGGAGGACAGAATTTCTCTATGACGTTTTCCATCATTAGAAACAACCACAACATTGTTGGAACCGGTCCCCACAACATAAACATTTCCATCTTTGTCTACTGATATACCGTCTGGGTTTCTTAAAACGCCTCTTTCTCTGAATTCCCATTGTATCTTACCTTGGAAATCACAGCACGTCACCGTATCAAGGTTATCGTTTGTATATATAATGTTGTTATTAAAAACTGTGACATATGAAAACAAACTTTGTCCAAGAAGCCCGGATCCAATAGAGCCTTTCGATTCGTTGCTTAAATCGACTGTCCTCAAACCAGAAGTTCTTGTACAGTAAATCAACGTCCCTTCATTTTTAAGGACCATGCCCGTATTTGATGAACCAACATTAAGCTTGTTAGTAACTTGTCTTGTCTCGATGTCAATGAAGTTGATATACTGAGACTTTGGATAACAACCAGAAGTAACAACGATCATATTATTACCTTTATATAAGATATCAAAGCTGAGACCTTTTTTAATTTCAAAGTCCTTTGTACCATCGCGGTTAATAGCTATGACTTTATGTTGAATGTAACAAGTAAACATCATCCTTCCATTAGGCAGTATTGTACATCCTCTAACGTCATCTGCATTAGTGTTGACGATCTTTCGTAACGCCAGTGTCAGGTTATCAATGGACTTTGGTACTGGGGCAGCAATCATCTGTTGAGCCTGTTGATCCTTCTGCCTATTTATCATAAGTTTGTTCGGCTCATTAACAACAATTATCTCTCCAAAGGATTCTATATCAATCGCAATATTCTGTAAAATCGTTTCAATTTTCCAAGATATTTGTGAATGATTTAATGTTCCGCTTTTAATTATTGACTGTACAAAATTTTCTTTCTTTGCTAAATCACGTTCCATTTCTTTTGCTGCGAGGAATGTTTGCAGTTCGGAAGCATACTGCTTAATGTTCGCTAACCCAGCCTGGAATTTTTCAATCTCTTTTTCCTTCCTCTCCACTTCGCTCAGTAACTGAAGAATCTTCTTATTCTCTGTCTCCTCTGTTGCATCAAGATTTCTCAGTACTGCCTGAAGTAGTTTGTCTAGATGATTATTGATTGAAGTTTTAGCTTTTTGAATCTCCATTTCAATGTTCTTCTTTTGTTCTTTCAAAGACGCTAAATTTTCTTCACGGTCTTTTCGAATTCTTTGGATATGATCTTTAACTTCGTTCAGAGTCTTCTCGATATCTTGGAATGCATTTGAAGACTTAATACCGGATATCACATCATCTATATCTTTTAAATCTTCACATTTATTATGATTCTCGACTACGCACCGTTTACAGCATGGACAATCGTGCTTCTTACAAAATATTTGATACTTTTGATCATGTTTTCTGCAGGACTGTGCCATTTGGATAATGTTACTTGGTAACTTCTGGTACTCAGCTATCGTCACGGTTTCATGATTACGTGATCCTTTGGATAAACTATGATGGTCATTACAGTCATCACATAGACCCTCCTCACAATCTGAACACCAGATGACTGACTGTTTACTGATATTGCGTAGTTCACAAACTCCACAAACTCTCCAGTTACTTGCCATTACTCTGAAATTATACCTTTCGTAGTTCAAATCAAACGTCAATTTGAAATTCTATATGGTAATATTTAACACGCAAATAGACCAATCTGATTAAAAAAAACAGATCTTGTGTGCTAGCTTTGTAAGCAAAGCTTGGACACAGGATCTGTATTTTAATCAGATTTTAAATAAACTGCAGTTTAATAAAAACTGTAAATGTTCGGTAGGAAAAAAAGTAAAACAAGCATTCTGTGAGTATTGTATGGCAATACATAGTCCCCTCCGGTTAAAAATTCATTGTATTGGAACAAAATTCTAACTTGACATGGTGTAACTATATAACAAATATCAAGTCAGTATCTTCAAGCATGACGAAAAAAAGTGTTGAAAACTGATTATTTAAGTGAATTTTCTAAGTCCAAGGTAACTTTATCAAATATAAATCGTCTAGAAGTATAAAAAATTAAACTGGTCGAAATGGAACAACCAACACTGACGTGACAAACAGATTTAAAACTCATAAATACAGGCTTATACTTTATTACCTCAAACGCACATTTCGATTTGTAACGTTTTCCACTACCAACTAGGTAACGGATTGGCAAATATACCATTGTCCAAACACAACGTTGATGACCCTATGCCTATTTTATATCAATAAAACGAACATAATCATGATAATGCTTTTTAAAAAATAAAAATAAAAGAGATAAATGTATTAATTTTTTTTTTAGATTTTCAGTTATAGTTCATAGAGCCAAAGTTGTATTCAAAATTTTACCAAAATCTGTGACATATCCCATTGATTATTCCTTGGTCTTTAATTTTTTTTGCACTATTCCTCAACATGCAAGTATTTTTTTTGTAATAATTTGATACTGATTGTCTGATGTGTGTCATTTAGCAATACAGATGTATTACTATAACACATTTGTGATGGTCGATGAAACATGGTTCAATTTGGATTATCTCCCGTTTGCCATAATAAATCTTAATCGAAAAGAAATGCATCAAGTGAAGTATCCCCCTTGCTTGTGTCTATTTTCTTTTAATCATAAAGGACAAATTTCACGCAACATCAAGTATAAAAGTTCAAATACAATAAATGTGACTTTACGAATGATATCCAAACTTCGGTTTAAATCTATACTCTCCAAAGATGTTTTGTAGTGTTCATAACCTACATTTATAACAGTCAATTTCAATTTCCATTTTTTTTTTAAAGTTTTCTGGTAAGTATAGTAACATTGGTGTGCCATATACTCGTGTCTGATAAACAATACACAATTGAAAAATTAAAACATTTGTTTTGTTTATGAAGAAGTCTTTTCATAACATTACCAGACGTACTTACAACCAGGAAGATTATATCAACATATGATCACCCAACCCATTTACCGTCGACAGTTATTTCCCTTTGCATATAATTTTGACTTGATATAGGAGGATCTGAATGGGCGTAGGGTAGGGAAGAATCTTAATTACTGTATTATTTTATATTTTAGGCCATATTTCTCTATTATATTTTGTCCATTCTTCACCGGCATTCTTTATATTTAAGCACCTCATTATTCTCTTTTTTTCTATTTTTGGGGGGACTCATTTTCGCTATTCTTTATTTTTTTGCCCATTATTCTTTATTTTGTAAACCCAGGCCAGACATTGATATAGTGGGTGATATGCTTTATTACCTGGTTAAGACCATAAATATTTGATTCTGTATAATAAAACACAGTACTGAGGCTTCTTTAGGATTGAACAATAATATTTCACATCGAATTGATTTTTGTACTTGTATACCGTACCGATAAAAAGTTGGGTTTTTTACATTAAATATACCTTAAAATAATTTCAGCAAATATTGTTCATATCCTTTCATATTTAATTTCTTTCGAAAAACACCTGAATAGCTTATCTGTAAAATGAAATCATACCTCCTATCGGTAATTTAATTAATGTAAAGCTCATAAACTTAAGCGCGTTCCCCTGAATCTTGAAGTTGACGGAAATTGAGAATATTTCATGTAGACCTATTTTCGTTATATATATGGTAGTTTCTGTAGTCATCATGTAGTTTGGTCCAATGATATATATGTTGAGACTTGTCCAACAAGAATATGTGTAGGGGAGGCAAAATCTGTAACAAGTGTATTTCTTAAGTCATCTAAGTCATGGTGGAATTCGTCAAACTTTCGATCAGACGATTTTCATTCTTTTCCGTTAATTAAGGATCATTGGTTCAGTGGTCTGATATTGGAATATTGAATCAGAGATAAATACTTTTGTTGATGTTTCATATTTTTTTTATTCTAGTCATGTGTTGTCTCTTGTGCTTCTTTTAAAACTACCACCATGATAATTTATTTGTAAATATCTTGTTTCTTTCGGATAACATTTTGTTACTTCTATAGCTTTGTGGCATACAGTTTGATTCAAGAGTTAAATTTGTTCGAAAGCAATTGTATTATGAAACTGTTGTTTCTATCTATTTTCCAAATCAAGTATTTTTCTAGACCTTGCATTCGAGGTCAAATGGTTTGGCATCATTTAAGTTTTGTTTCATACGAAAGAACATGGAAGCCGAGATGCGGTGACAATAAAAAAAACGATCCAAAAGACATATATAATAGGTTAATATGCGGTCTTTTAAGTCTTTTGTAATTTTTATAGTCTGAAATAAAAATCTACAGATCTATTGCAGAAGTGTCCACGTGTGTACCAAAAAGAGGCAGAAGACACCAAGGGAGCCTTCAGAACTCATAAGTCGAAGACATACTGTCAACAACATTGCAAAAAAAAAAACGAAAGAAAATTAAAATATCCTACTCCACTAGTGGCACTCGTCATGCTGCTCATTGTAAGTACAAACTTGGTGATGTCTCAATCGATGAACAGCGGAGGGGGTTGTGGTAACGACAATAGGAACATAGCCGTTGTCATCTGTGACATAGATATTTCATAACGGTCAACCAACTCGCGATGACTCCGTTAAATTTTCGAAAGTACCACTTGGAACTCATGATTAATCAAGCTTCCTTGTAAGCAGTAACCCTCTATCAAGGAAAGCATGATAAGATATTAAAGCTCTGGAATCTCGTATTAACTGGGGGATATATACTCCATATGCAGGCGCTGCTGGAATGTTGCTACATAGAAACGGAAAGTTCACAATTGGGAAGCTGAATTCGTCTCTTTTATCATCAAGTTTTGTTCTCAACCTACAATCATTGTCAATTTCTAGATGTAAATCAAGATATGAGGCAGACTTAACTGTGTCTGTGGTTTATTTTTTTCAGGTTTGATGGGATAGATGCAGTCAACATAGACACCAAACTTTGAAATATGTAGTGAAAGAACCTTTTCTGGAAAACGGAACTGAAGTTAAAGGATATAATGCTAGATTATTTTCATTCTTCCTGAAAGCTGCTGTATGAAGTCTGCCTTATATGACTAAAGGAACAAATCGACAAGAATGAGTGGGAATGCCTATTGCAGGATACACCTATTATGCATGGGTTCGACTCAGAAGTCAATACAGTGACAGGTGTCAAAGCCGGGAACTTGACAAAATTGGCAAAACAACTGAATAGAAAATAGATATCGGTTCATTTGAGATGAAAATGCAAAACATAAATAAATTATAAAAATATGTTTACGCAGCCGATTTATATTACTGCATGTATATTGAATTTCATTTAATACCGAGTAAGGTAGCTGGGTGTCTTCCTCCATCTTGGATTTTGAAATAGCAGATAACAATCAGTCTAGATCTTTAATGAAATGTGCAAATTTCGAGATTAGTATGTAATTCATGTGTAAGACTGTTCATGCTAATATAGAAAATTATGTGTTTTATCGTATTTACGGCTGTATTTCACAAAAGCAGAATATTTTTGTTTGATTAATTTTTTTTTCAACTTTGCCACATAAGTAGAGATAACTCAGATATAAGGGGAGATAACTCAGATAAAGTAACTTTTATAACAGAATGTGTTGTGAATTTAACTTTTTTATTATGTAGCAAGAAAACGAGTCCGGTGACTCCATTTTCTTATTATTTCTTATCTGAAAGCATATTATTAAAGCTATTTTCCCATACTTTATTTTAAAATTATATGGTGTAGTTTTCTTTTTATCACACAAAATTGGGTACTCCATACATACTCCATACAAAATCTGACAATATTTTGCACAACATGTAGCGTGAAAAAAAGCCCGGTGACCCATACTTGTTATTATATTTTTGAAAAAAGCATGATATGAAAGACATTTTGACAAATTATTCAAAATTCTATGGTTTTAAATTTAGACCCCCACCCCATCTACCTTAACGTTTTGTCTTTCGCATTTCTATGTCTGATCTTGCTTTACCAACAGAAATGAATCTAAAGGACATATACAAAACACATAAGTAGATGAGAAACTGATACCTGGTAACAATATGGCAAAACATGAAAGACGACGAAAAGGCCAACAGGTCCGCAAAACACTACACTGAAATTTAAAGACTGAGCTACACGAACCTCCTAAAAACTTGGGATAATCTCAGGTGCTCCGGAAAGTATAAGTTGATCCTACTTCAGTAGTGGCACCCGTCATGTTACTCATGGTAAATACAATTTCGGTGATAAATTTCGGTGATAAATCTCATTCGGTGATGTTATTATCAATACAAAGAGGATGGGATTGTGAAAACGACAATAGGAACATATCCGTTGTCATCTGTGACATAGATATTTCAAAACGGTCAATCAACTCGCGATGGTGTCCGTAAAACTTTCGAAGGAATTACTTCAACTTTACCACTTGGAACCCTCGGTTCAATAGGAAATGCAAAGTTTGGAATATCGTTTTAACCGGAAGATATATACTCCACATGCAGGCGCTAATGGAATGTTGCTACAAAGAAATTGAAAGTTTACAATTGGGAACTTCCAAATGAATTCACAAGTTTTGATCTCAACCAACACTCATTGACAATTTCTAGATGTAAGTCAAGAATGCAAAAGATGCAAAATATAAAAATAGATACAACAAAACATTTATTAATAAATTATTAAATATTTTTACGCCAATAAGCTGATTTATATGACTGCATGTAAATTAAATTTTATTTAATACTGATTAACTTTTTGTCTCTCGCATTTCTATGTCTGATCTTGCTATACCAACACAAATGAATCTTCAAACATTCAAAAATATAATTTTAAAAGACAAAACCCCTGCTTATCTGATAAATAAAATCAATAACCTAATCGTTGTTCTGGTGGATGAGTTATTTTATAAGAACTTGGCACTGTGTATGGAATTTCTTCTTCATGCGTTTTAAGTCCATTATTTATCCCAAAGTTTCCGTTTTCGATATCATTTTTACTTTCTTCTGTTTCTTCTCCATTACTGTTTCCGTTCTGTGCGTTTTTGTAGGCATGGAATCTTTGTAAATTTTGACGGTATCTTGGTTGTTCCCAAGGCCATGGTGGTCTGTTTAATGGTTTTGATACAGGTGGGTCTACATTTTCAGATATCCATTCTGGGTGTACTACGAAATACGCTTTAGATGAAAATGAATTCTGCAAAAGAATTTTTCAATGTAAAGAATACAAGTCTATTTTTGATCAATGGCATTAGAATAAAAATTTAGGACTCATTACATTTTCATTTTAAAGTTTACTTTGACGCAAGTAAAAAATTTTATGAATATAATAACAACAAGATAAGATAATGTGTCCTAGGACACCACATCCCGCGAACATTTGGCATATTTTTTTTAAAAGTTCGCAGCATGTGTTAATAGTTTCAAGTTGATGTATGAACTACCTTGGACAAAATCTTTAGCCTGATACAGGACGGACAAATGGCCAATCGTAGTAGTCTCAGACTTCTCTTCTCCCATTCTGAAGAAACGTGAGACGATTGAGCTGGGAAAAGGATGCTGACAGAAATTTAAATCATATAGGCGCAAATAGAGTAACCCCACCGCATTTTTGCGCCTTTCCAGGAACCTCTGGCCATTGTTAGTCGTATATGTTTTTTTTAATTTCGGTTCATTTATATGTTGCGGAGTTTAGTGTGACGTCCATTTTCTATGAACTAGTACACATTTTTGTTTAGGGACCAGCTGAAGCCCGCCTACGGGTGCGGTTATTTCACGCTGTGTTGAAGACCCATTGGTGGCCTTCGGCTTTAGTTTTTCTGCTCTTTGGTCAGGTTGTTGTCTCTTTGACACATTCCCCGTTTCCATTCTCAATATTACTACGATTTAGATGAAATGCTAACTGGATATCATTCTCCACTCATCTTATGGTAAGTATGGTACGTATACAGTATAAGTCAACTGTTAATTAAATCCAGGTGATCGCATTAAACATTGATCACTTGTAATCTTGTTTTGGTGCTTA